AGCCTATCACAGTGCACATGTCTGCATAGGAGAACATATGCAGGACAAAATATTCCGTAGTTTGTTATTCCGAGGACGGCACCGGGGGCACACGGGCTTGTTTGCCTTTGCTGGGAGAGGAGATTGGATTGGGGGTTTAAATGAATCGCTGGCGCACCACGTTTATAGGTTTCATTAACTTTTAATGAGTTGGGTGTCCTTCGCTGTGATTGGCTGGCAAAGCTCTGCCTTCACTTCCTGGAACTGGAGCTGAGGGGGAAGTGAGGAGATATTGCAGCATGTTGGCTTCCATGTTATGGGCCATGTGCTGCTGAATGTGCCACACTGGGTGGAAATGGGTCAGAAGAGGGGATATAACGTGGTACTATTCCAAAGCAGAAGCCCCAGATATCCATCAGCACTGGCAACGGCTGAATCTAAAAACCTGGAGGTATCGAGTCTCGAGGGGAATAAAGAAAAACCTTGGCAGATCAATCACAGCCAAGCAGGCATCCCTTTACCACAGCTGACTGACATATCGTTTTATGGTCGCTTTGCCAACAAGGTTTGATCTCAAAGACAGGCATGAGACCCACTGGGAAATGCCTGTGGAATTACCAAAGAGGAGCAGGAAGCATCAGTGCGTGTGTGCGTGCACACAAATGCTGCCTGCAGTCAACTCGAGCAATACCTAACTTCATATTTTGAGCATCTTTAATCTCCTTCCAATATAGTATCTTTCTGCCTGGTTGATCACACATCTATTATCTTGCATGGAGGGGTGTTTCTGTACGCTTTATGATTCTCCTTGAGAAGCTAATCCCCTCCTCCAGTGCGCTCCTGAGCCTCACTTCAGCACTCCCAAGAAACAAAGGCCATGCCTGTCAGCTCCATTTTTATCTCCATCACGTTGGCACAAGATGGAAAGTTCTTCCTTCAGTCATTTGCATTATCTCCATCACCTTTGATTGTCAGTTCTTCAGAAACATTGATTGGTTTGGTAAGGTGGGGAATGACTTCTCCTCCATTTGCTTGATGACAACCCACAAGGATAAACACCGACCATCCATCCACTTCCAGGCGTATAAAAGCAGCAGGGTAGTGAGAGGCACCCCGTCCTGGCCTGAATGGATCGCCTTTAGGTCACTGCGTGTCCTGCCAGCTGCTGCCTCGCAGTACTCAATGGGCATTGTTGGTGGACCTCTCTCTCTCTCTCTTTCCCTCTCCTCTCTCTTTCTGTCTCAGGACATGAAGGAGTCCTACGCTGGAATGTCACACAGTCGTGTCAGAGGAGTGCGGACACATCACAGTCAGCGGCCGCATTCTCACCCTGTCCGTCCTGCCATTTCTCTTAAACACACACAGACACACACACCTCTTCTTTCCATCATAACAGAGCTCCAGACTGACCTTCATGTGTCCAGATTTACAAAATAACAGCCACGAGTGTGCAACTGTCCAATATTTTAAGATTAAAGTGTCAGGAATGATAAGAAGTCAACAGCAACCATTCAAAATCTTGTTTAAGAGACAAAGGCACGTGCAGAATGAGTCGCAGTTTTGCATGAACAAAAGAACAATTGAAGGGTATGTATGGCTTTGGCACACATCTGTAAATCCCTGATTATACTCAAGAAGGATGTATCAGAAAAACAACTTCTACATAAAATCACATATAAGACTTTCTACACTTCGTTGCAGACTGTGTAAAACACCCTCACTGCACAACAAATATTAAACAACCATTTAAATATGAACTATGTGGTACTAAAAGAGTGATATGCATGGTTTGCAAATGCTTGCAATTTTAAATTGAGTTTAAAAATATCACATATTTAAGAAATTTTGGAGGTAAATGCCATTACACTCAGACAGCTAATTTGAAGCTTCAATATCTGCCAGGAGCCCAGTTTAATTTGCTCAGTGATAAAGCTACATTATTTTGACATTTTCAACCATTTCCTTATTAAAATTAGAATATCACTAACCTAAGATAAATACTTTAACTTAGAATGTGCATTTGAGGCCTGTTTGATGCCCAAATTCTCTATAAAGCTATGTGGATAAAAAGTTAGAGTCACGTTGAGTCCCATTGGTTTACACTGAAGTATTTGTCCAATGTGCAATTTTAATTTAGGTTATACTGAATTTATAATTAATGTTTTCTTTAGAAAAAGTGAGAAATGATTACCATGACTGCACACAGGTGTGCAAATGCTTTTCATCTTTTAACTCTCATAACAGAATTTATTTTAGTGTATAATAAGACAACAGACTTAAGAATGTATTTTGCTGTTTTAATAATAATCTAAATTTTGATTTTCCAATTTGATATGTAACTTTATTGTCACGTTTGTATCCTTAATTGCTAATAAGCCATTTACCAATAATAGCAACAATAGCAGCAGGACAATAAATAGTTGCAATAGAGGCCAAATTTATTATTAATTCAGGTCAAATCAATGGACAATTTTACTAGATATTTATATATCTATGGCTTAATAATTTTTTCTGTATAATTTGACAATAATATAATGGTGTGTCTTATTTTTTCCACACACCTCTCAAAGTGGACAAAAAAAATCTAATACCCTATCAATGACCACATTTATTCATCTGCAGCGGAGACGTGCGGAACAAATTGGAGGCACATACGGTGGCTGGCCGGACAGGCTGCCGGAGCGTCACACCGGGACGGGCCGCCTGCTGAGAAACCATGGGTGGCTTTGAGTTTTGACTTTGTGGTCCCTTTAATATACTGAGGGACGGCAGTTTGCCTTGCTAAGATATGGGATTAGGAGTATTTCTGGTGAAAGAGGAGTTAAGTCGGGCTAGTGTGGACGGTCCCTCCCCTGCAAAAGGCTGAGACAGAATTACAGCTTGTTGGACCGGTGTCCCGCCGTCGCTATGGAGACAGATCTACTTGGGTGTTCCAGTCCGCGAGCTGCAGCGTGGAGCCTATAGGTGCGGCAGACGCCCTGCTGTATATAACACCATCTGACTCCATGAAATAACTCTGCACCCGAGTACCACACAGATGCACAACCTGATCAGCCATTTCTGATTGTTGAAAAGTTGTATCTGAAATTATCAGATCTGACGGCTGCAGCAGAGCCTCACGTGGGAATTTTCATATAATATTTCTTACATTTTCACATATATAATTCCTCTCTTTAATGCATCAAACTGCTGCAAGGATTGCCAGTGCCCTTACCTTGCTATATTTAGTTGACGCCCATGGGTGGATGCGCATGGCTTATAGAGTATTGAGTCATTCAGTAAAAACAGAGGCCCAAACTCGTCTAGGCATTAAAATGCATCGCTGTAGGGGAAATGTTTCACTGTGGAAGTCTGGTAGAATTGCATGCTATTTAAAGACATGGCATGAAAAAATGTTAATTGCTTATTATTCGAGTACATGTACATCTTTATAAAGAAGCTGAACTATTAATAGCAGGCATTTTAATCTATAGGCCTACTATATATTATTTCTTGGTTTGTTGCATGCTCTATTTTAACAGAACTTCATCATATTTATATTATATTTATTAATAAAAGCAGATTTCCCGTCAATACCCAGCAGCCGGGCTGCCTGCAAACGTGCAAAAGACGCGTCTTTGTGTCTTCACTAGAAAAGAAGTTCAGATTTTTCAGGCCTTAATCAAGAAATATGCAAATACCACCACGAGAAACGCGGAGAAATCAGGTTAGCGGAGTAAAAAGGATCAACAGGCTGCACCATCCTTTATTCAGTTGCTATAACAACAGATGTGCTCGTCTATGATGGTGCGTCTGCTGCAGAGGCATCCACCCTGATGGAGACAAAGTTAGGAGATGGGGGGGAAAGGTGCAGCGATGTGGCCTCGGCGCACTTTTGTCCGCCAGTACAGATTGAGGTTGGTTACCTTTGAACCGGCAAAGCTCCAAAAGGCCATTCCCATCTCAGTGCGCGCAGGAGAGGGCTCGACTGGGGTTATCCCGCCTGCTGAGGATCGGAGGGGAGCCGCGTCCGGATACTGTTGTTTGATATTGGTAAATGGACATTTTTGGAGGGCTCTCCATCTACTTAGGATTTAAAGGAGCAAATTATCCGAATACGGCGACATTATTTTTGCAGAAATATTAGGGGCCGCTTATTTTATTATTAAATATAATTTTTTAATATATCATTATCATTATTATAATTATTATTGTTATTATTATCGCAGCGTTAAAAGCTTATTTGAACATATAAAATAAAATATAATGAGTTTAAATTTCTGAGCAAGATAAAACATATATTACCTTAATTTAATAAAAGCTTGACATCACGATCACGAGCGCTTTTATGTATATTTGACAATTATTAATTTGAATATTCACTGACAAAAAATAGGCTAAATCCATTTGTATTAATAATGGCATAATATAAAAGCAGTAGCAGGTCAGAGCTGCAGCAGGACTCGTTTTAATGACATCAGTGCTGCAACAATATCTGTCAGCTGTACACTGCAAAAAATATCCAACTCAACAAGACAAGAATTACTCTCATATTTCTCTGAGATCCGCTATTTTCACCTGTTTCCGGTGTAAAAATCGACTAGAATTAAGTCTCTTTTTTGAAAAGAGATGGTTTTGTTATAAGGAATCGCCAGCACTGAATCTAGTGGAATTATCTTATCTTCATTTCTGCGCTTTTTAAGTTCCATTTAAAATCAGCAATCAGACTAAATCACCTGTTAGTGACACTTTAGTTTTTGCAGTGTAGCAAGATCTCTCTCCACGCAACTCAAAGACACAGAAACTTGAAGCAGCCTCCACCACACAACCTGCAGATCCCCTCAGCTTTGCACCACCCTGTCGTGAAATCCAATACGTCTCCTTTCTCATGAATTTAGGATATCAGCTCCTGCCACTACCCCTGCCCCACCACCACCTCCCCCTCCTCATGCAAGTCCGGGATCTGCCACCAAACCACGTCTCCCCTCTTGTTAAAAATCATTTTTAAAAAACGAAATTGGAAATTAAAAAAAGCTTCATACCTGTGCAAAAATAAGCCGGTGCTTGTTGTTGGCAAGCCACACAGGAGCCCATTGTAGAAGCTCGCCTTCTGCCTTCTGCAAAGGGCTCCAGACATCACGGCATTTATTTGAGCTCAAACTCTGTCACTGTTGACTTTAGCACAAAGCAAAGATTTCACTGCCCCGCTAGTTAAAAAAAATGATTATTTTACAGAGATATCGATCAGTGTGCTATAAAAAAAATCAGCTTAGCATTATATGTCTAAAATGAATAGAACGAAATTTAATGTCTGTGTAAATTTACAGAGCCGCGGCGTCCTATTCAAAGTTTACACTTGTGCAATTTGGTTTGTGTGTGTACTCTTCCCTATATGTGGGCATAGCCTCCACTCTATTGTTTACTGGCTTTGTTTATTCGCAGATCACGCTGTTTAAAGTACGATCCGTAAAGAGGGTCTGGAGAATAAACGCACACTTTAGGCCCTACGTGTTCAGAAGGCGAAGGGGTGTCATTTGGTTATAAGGGGAGCAGAAATTTCCCCCTGCCTGCATGGCCTTGGATTTGAGCTCAGCAGGGAGGGAGAGAAAGAGGAGGAGGGGGGGGGGGGATGATTCATTTGGACGACAACTAGCCTATCTTATCTAACAAGAGGGGAGGGTCCAACTACTTTAAAAATAGGGTGTAGACAATGGGCCCCCAGATTGTGGGGAGAGAAGTTAGAGCATCACATCCAGGCGGCTCTGTTCCCAAATCAGCCCCCTTTTCCAGCAACTATTCTCCTGCTCCACGGGGAGGCTGTTTTATGTGACAATGACACTTAATCTTATTCACTGATCTAAACTTTGCTGTGTGTGTGTGTGTGTGTGTGTGTGTGTGTGTGTGTGTGTGTGGAACTGGGATAAACCTTGGTGACTGGCAGGCAGGCATGGTGTTTGAGTGACAGTGCTAGATAAAGGCTTGAATCATAATGTGTCTCACTGTATGTGTGGGAATTTAAATGGCTGATTTAATACATGTAGATCATTATTTGACCAACACACACTTCTTCTTCTTCTTCTTCTCCTTCTTCATCCTTCTTCCTGCAGCAGTTGGGTTTTTAAGGAGATTAAACTGCACACTTTTGGTTAATTGCATGATTTTAAATTTCTGCAGACACACATTTTAATTTGGAGCAAATTGTGCTTTCTTCTTTTCCTAAAATGCGTCTCTGTACGGATGTCTTCCTCGGCACTGCGGTGCCAAAATATACAAAGTGGTTTGGTGCGTTTGGATAAACTTTTCCTGCATTAGTATCTCACTTTGCGTTTGGGATTAATAACCGTATGCCTGATTTGTTTACATTTTCTTAACGACAGATTGAGAGCATTGTTCTCGTTGTTGTCCAGCAACGATATTAAGCCCTGCTGAAAATGTGCGCTTTATTATAAAAGCACATGGATAAATTTTTTTTTTTTAGAAATAAAAATAGTGTAACTCAGTGTATGCACTTATATGGAATTTGTCCGTGTTATTATGCATATTATAAATAGCTAAAAAAAAATAAGTAAATGCTTTTTTAATTTACATCCTCCTCTTTGCAAATTTCAGTTTTTAATAATGAACGTGTTAATGTAATATAATTAAAAGTATTAGTTTTCTGTAATGTGAACTATTTTGCATGCAGTTACTTTATATTCTGTTATATTCATTTATGACAGTTTTACACAGTCCACCTTCAATAGGCACACACCTGCTGTAATGGTTGAATTTAATCGTGGAGACGCTTTTCCACTAGACTGTATTATAAAAGTAATAATAATAATAATGATGATAACAATAATTGTCAAACACCATGATATTCAGAAAACAAAACCAATAACACTTTAATATAGATTCTGTTCTTGTCACTACAAGAATACACATATACAAGCCATAAATAGGAATTACACAAATGATTGAAGAAATCCTGCGAGGCATTTTAAATTCATGTAGGAATCCAGTTATGCAGATGGAGCTCTATTTTACAGCAAGATGTTGTTTGTCTTTGGGGTCCATTCCTGAAGCCGACTTCTGAACAGATCTCGTCACATTGTCATTAATTATTATTATTATTATTATTATTATCAACATCCTCTCATCTCAAAATAATTAGGCTACTAACAAACTCGACAACTAAAACGGTGGGAAACGTCAAAAATATCTGAAATACATATTGTACACAAACTCTATATTTTTTTGTTTTTTGTTTTTACAAATGTACAAATTGAAGAGGGAGAAAGTCCACATCGTATGGAGAGGGGGGGAGAGTTTATGAGGAGTTCATGATCGGCCTGGAATACACGCCTTGGTAGTAAGTTGTGTCAGGTATGGATGAAGAATCCAGACCGGCTTTCCCCGCCATGGAGCCCATGGAAAGAGACCCGGCCATGGGTGAGCCATAGCCGGAGTAATGCATCACCTGCTCGTAAGTCTTTAGGTCCATTTTGTGATGCTGCTGCTCCGAGGACATGAGGTTATTTATGGAGAAGGGGTGGTTGAAGGAGTAGTGGTGCTCCGGCTTCAGGTGCGCCTCGTGCGCAAGGACCGAGTGATGCTGGGACATGAGGTGCTGCCCCTGCGACACCGGGGAGGCGGCGGCGTGCTCCGGGCTCAGGGCCTGGCTCGTCTTCATGTCTGACAGGGACCTTTTGTGGTCGCCGGAGGAGGAGTTGGAGTGCGGGGACTCGTTGCCGTTGCAGCTCTCCGAGCTGCTGTTGGAGGAGCCGCCGTCTCCCCCTTTGCGGCCGCTGTCCTTCATGTTCGTCTTCTTATCACACTTGAAGCGCTTCTGCCTCCTCAGGTAGCAGCCGTTCTCAAACATGTTCCCGGAGTCCGGGTGCAGAGTCCAAAAGGAGCCTTTCCCGGGTTTATCCGGCGACCTGGGCACTTTGAGGAAACAGTCATTGAACGACAAAGAGTGGCGAATGGAGTTCTGCCAGCGCTGCTGGTTCTGTCGGTAAAAGGGGAAGAGGTCCATTATCCACTGGTAGATCTCGGCCAGTGTCAGCATCTTGCTGGGAGACTGCTGGATGGCCATGGTGATGAGGGAAATGTAGGAATACGGGGGTTTGGCGTGCGTGTAGCTCCTGCGGTAGGTCTTAGGGTCTCTGGACCTGTTGATGTTAGACTGTCCGTAAATGGGGCTCATGGCGTTCATGTTGGTGTAGGATGTCAGGGCGTTCATAGATGCGGGCTGCGCGGTCATGGGACTCATGCTGGGGCTCAGTGCTGCGCTCATGGCCGTCATGCCTGCGCACATGCCGTTCATGGCTCCGGTGCCCGGTGACATGCCGGTCATGGAGGGACTCATTCCCGTGTTGACGTATGACATGTTCATGGAGTTGGCCGTCATGTTGGCAGTGGTGCTCATGCCGGACATGCTCATGTAGGTATTCATAGAGTTCATTCCCAGGCCCGTGTTCATGTTGCCAACCGAGGTGTAACACTGTCAGTGAGGGAAAGAAGCAATCATCAGTTTCATCTGGCACAAGCAGTACAGTGAGGAATTAAAAGCAGCTGCAATTACTAAACACAGAGTTCAGTTTTTCTTTAAGCCTCATAAAATAAGAATTATAATAGAGATATAGAAAATATTTTAAATGCGCACTGGCTCGTAAAGATTAAAATGGACATGTGTGCGTTTGCTTCCGCGTGAAATGGTTGTAAATTTAAAAACACACTTGCGTATGTTTAATCACTGCTAAGGCAAGTAAATTAAGTTTAATAATCCTCCATAAATGCACAGTGTCGATGCTGACACCTAATATGACTCCGCTCACACACAAAATAGCGACTGCAACGCAAATATTTGAATCAATCTCCCCAAAACCAAACAGCTCCGGTGTTTGTCGAGCAGAAACATGACAAAAAAATAATCTGATTCAGTAAAGATACGTATAGATTTATGAAATTATAATCCGAGTGAAAAGTTTCTCCCCCCTACATGTCAAGCAACTTTGTTAGGATAGTGCGCTGCGTGGAGATGGGGGAGGATTTGGAGGCGCCTCAAGTCAATATTTGATCACAAAGTTAATATTATCTCAGGGCTAATATTGAGTTGTATAAAATGGGATTGGCTTTAGACTGGAAAAAAATATATATTTAAGGTACCCACCTCGGGCTCTCCGTAGTAGGTGCTCCAGTCGGTGTGTTCGTGTCCTTCCATTTTAACTGCTCCAAGCATCATGGAGGACTTTTACAAAGCGTCTCCCAGCAGGGGAAAAGCCAAAAGTCTCTCTAATAGCAGGTGACTGGGGACCACTGAGTGTATTTGGGTCGTCGGTGTGTCCCTTCGTCAAGGACTGGCGTTGATGTGTGTCTTATGGAGCCAGCCGTGAAATGCGTCTGTCAGTGACTGGAGTTCAAATGACGCTCCGTGCTGCCTGTTAACGCTGTGATATAGCTCTGTGCGCTAGGCAAGCCTCCAATCCCTACTTCTACGCCTTGGGCCCTATTTGAATAATCTCCTCGCACCTAGGCGTGAGACTCCTCAAGCTCCCCCCCTCCACCCCAATTGTAGTACACCTGCACTCACTCAAAAGAACAGTTTCTTATGAAAAGCTTCATTATAAACTAATCTTATTGTGTTTTGGCCGAGGCAAAAGGAAGAGCTATAAAAAGATTGTTTGGCGCTCTTCTTTTTGGTGTGCTTTTCATTACGCACATCCTCCAACGTGCTTATTGCACTTCAGCTGAGCTGGAATCATAAAGCATTTTTTATTGCGTTGCGTTCAAGGAATTTATAGCCTTAACTTAGCACTGTTAATCATTTTACACCAACAACACTACAAAACATAAAAACATTTTTTAAATTAGATAAAGCCTGATCCATCAGTGCGCTCAAAGGAATGTATTTAAGCAAATGTAACTGTTATTTAATAATATTACAGCATGTTGTCAGGGTTTTGTTGCTGTGTGAATCCAGACACATTAAACTGTTTATGGGTTATGCAAAAAATAACGTGATTTTATAAGCTAGTTAGAGAATAATGATGTCATGGCTGGTGTGGGCCTGCTTAATGCAGACATGTGCACATGAGTAAAATGATGTAAGCTCCTTTAATAAAAAGGGTTGACATTAGTGAAAATAAAAGGCATATCATCAC